CTCATCATACTTAGAGATACATCTTATACTCAAATATTCATCACTCTTCAACTCCATCATATATGTTTCAAATGAAATAATGGATTACCATAATCATATCCAGATGATTAATATCCACATGCTCTTTCCCTCTCTACTCACCATGTGTTGCTTATCGTTAACCACTTTGCCACAGTCCCATTCTCAACCACCGACACACACTTGTAACGACCAGTCATACAACTGCGGAAAACTGTCTAACATCTCTTACCCTTTATGGGGACAAAACAGATCCCAGCGATGTGGTCGTTGTTAGGAACAAGACAATAATAAAGGAAAGAATAAAGGAGAGAAAAATAAACGACACAAGAATTTTAACGTGGTTCGGCTAAAATATGTATGCCTACGTCCACGACTACACTAGGAAGTATTTTTATTTCTGTGTATATCTCAAACTTTACATAGGGTTGCTTATATAACAAAATAGAGAACCTCATCTCACAATCCTAATCGATGTGGGACTAAATCAAGCACCATAATACTAACAATTCTCCCACTTGGAGTTTGATTTACGTTACCACCTAGTGTAGTGCCTTCATCATCAATTTGCTCGAAGGCCAGTTGAGGCAATGCAAAGCCTAAACTTAGTTGTTGTAACAGTCTTGGTCAACATATCAGCGGGATTCTCTGCACCTGGAATCTTCAACAAACTCAAGTCTCCATCATTTATCAGGTTTCTGATAAAATGATACTTCAATTCAATGTGCTTACATCTGGAATGAAGGATTGGATTTTTAGCAAGACAAATAGCACTTTGACTGTCACTAAACAACGGAGAACCATCTTGTTCTCTTCCTAATTCTTTTAGAAGGTTCTTCAACCATATCATCTCCTTCGCCGCTTCTGAGATAGCTACATACTCGCTTCAGTGGTTGAGAGAGAGACCCTTCCTTGAAGTTTAGACTTCCAACCGATAGCTGTACCACCCAATGTAAAAATATAACCTGTTGTGCTCTTTCTACCGTCAAGATCACCTCCCAAGTCCGCATCGAGAAAACCCCTGTAAAATGAGATTACTTCTCTTGAAAGACAAATGCATCTTTGAAGTGCCTTTCAAATATCCGAATATCCACTTCACTCCTTCCCAATGCTCCTTTCCGGATTTGATAGAAATCTGCTCACAACTCCCACTTGCATGTGCTATGTCCGGTCCGGTGCAAACCATAGCATACATCAAGCTTCCTACTCGAGATGCATATGACACTTTAGACATGTGACTTTCTTCTTCTTCTGTTTGAGAAGATTGCCTCTTTGAAAACTTTAAGTGAGTTCCCAAAGGTGTATTCCTGGTTTTAGCATTCCCAACATTGAATCTGCTAAGCAATTTTTCTATATATTTTTCTTGAGATAAGTTCAAAATACCTTTATCTCTATCTCGGGAGATTCTCATACCAAGAATTTGCTTGGCTGGACCAAGATCCTTCATTTCAAAGCTCTCTGACAATTGTTTCTTCAACTTGTCAATTTCTGCCATATTAGCTCCAACAATCAACATGTCGTCAACATATAAGGCAAGAATGATATAGCTATCAACATATTTCTTCACATAACAACAATGATCTTCTTCACATCTGCGAAATCCTGAGTTTCTCATAAACTCATTAAACTTCTTGTACCATTGTCTCGGCGCTTGTTTTAATCCGTACAGACTTTTATGAAGCTTGCATACAAGATTTTCTCCGCCTTGTACTTCAAAACCTTTTGGCTGTGTCATAAAAATTTCCTCTTCAAGATCCCCATGTAAGAATGCAGTTTTGACATCTAACTGCTCCAAATGAAGATTTTCTGCAGCTACTATACTCAAGATAACTCTGATGGTAGTCATCTTGACAACAGGAGAGAAAATTTCTGTGAAGTCAATTCCTTGTCTTTGTTGGAACCCTTTCACTACGAGTCTAGCCTTATATCTTTTGCTGCCATCTGGTTCTTCTTTCAACCTATAGACCCACCTGTTTTGCAAAACTTTCTTTCCTTCTGGTAGCTTGGTTAAAGACCATGTTTTATTCTTCTGAAGGGACTTTATCTCATCTTCCATTGCTAGCTCCCACTTAATAGATTCATCTCCCTGCATAGCCTCAGCAAAATGCTCCGGCTCACCGACGATCAGCCAACAACAAATAATGCAATGAAGGGGAATACCTTTGTGGTGCTACAATTGTTCTGCTAGATCTTCTAACCAAGATTTCAGGAGTTGCTGACTCTACTATTTGTTCAGGTTCTGTCTCAGGCTCTGACATAGGCTCTACTTGTATATTCTGCCTTCGGTTGACTACATCACTTTCTGAAATTTCTTCTAATGATACTTGCTCTAGCTGTTTATTTACATTTGCAGATTCTGCAATCCTGTCTCTATAGAACATGTTTTCATTAAAAGTAACATTTCTACTTCTGATAATTTTCTTGTTTTGGTCATCCCAAAACCTGTAGCCAAACATGTCAGATCCATAACCAATGAAATAACAACGTTTTGCCTTAGGGTCCAATTTATCTCTACTATTAGAGTCTAACATAACATATGAAGCACAACCAAAAACTTTCAGATGTGAAAGATTTACCTCTTTTCCAGACCATACTTCTTCAGGTAACTTATAGTCTAAAGGAACTGATGGTCCTCTGTTTATGAGATAGGCTGCTGTGCTTATTGCATCTGCCCAAAATACCTTGGGTAATCCTGACTGGATTCTCATACATCTTGCTCTCTCATTCAAGGTTCTGTTCATTCTTTCTGCCACACCGTTTTGTTCTGGTGTTCCTGGAACTGTCTTGATCATTCTGATCCCATTCTCTGAACAAAACTCCTTGAATTGACTACTGTCATATTCTCCACCATTATCAGACTTCAAACATTTGACCTTTAAACCTGTTTGAGTCTCAACCTCCTTTTTCCACCTTTTAAACACAGAAAACACATCAGATTTATTTTTAAGAAAATAAACCCATACCTTTCTTGTAGAGTCATCAATGAAGGTTACATAATATTGTGAACCTCCAAGGGATTTCACTGAAGCTGGCCCCCAAACATCTGTATGCACTAGTTCTAGTCTTTCAACTTTAGACGACTTACTTGTTTTGGAGAAGCTAACCTTTTTCTGCTTTCCAAAGATACAATGTTCGCAAGGTCCAACGTCAACATGCTTCACGTTAGGTATTTTACCTTTTGATATCATGAGCTTCATTCCTTTCTCACTCATATGCCCAAGCCTCGATGCCATAAGGAGGAATTGTTGCCAACTTCTGCAACCGATATCATATCCTCATCTGCAATCATGTAGAGAGATCCTTGCTTCTTTCCACGAGCAACAACAAGATTACCTTTCATTACCTTCCAATGTCCATCTCCAAAAGTGGTGTAATGTCCCTCATCATCCAACTGCCCTATAGATATTAAGTTTCTCTTTAAGGTTGGAATATGTCTGACATTATTCAAAGTCCACACGTTTCCATTAGAGGTTCTGATGTTAATATCACCTCTTCCTATGATATCAAGAGATTTTCCATCTGCAAGGTAGACCTTCCCAAACTTTCCAGAAACATAGTTAGATAATAGTTCTAAGGAAGGTGTAGTATGAAATGACGCACCTGAGTCCATAATCCATGAGTCAATAGAATTATCTAAACTACATAACAGTGCATCTTCAACTTCATCAGTTGCTGCATTTGCTGATTGATCATCATCTTGCTTCTTGTTGTTGTTGTTGTCCTTCTTTGGAGCCCTACACTGATTTGAAAAGTGGCCCTTTTTCTGACAATTCCAACAAGTGATATCATTCCGGACTTTTGCTTGTGATCTCCCTCTGGATTTTGATCTGCCTCGGCCTTGATTACGACCTTTCTGGCGACTTCTTCCTCTAGTTTCAGTACTCAATGCTGAACCTGAATTAGAACTGAAAGATTCTACTGAATTTTTCCTGCGAACATCTTCGCTTAAGATCAAGTCACGGATGTTATCAAGCTTCAACTTGTTATTGCTTGCAGAATTACTTACTGCAGTAACAGTTGCACCCCAACTTTCCGGTAGAGATGATAATAAAATTAATGCTTTCACCTCATCATCAAATATTATCTGCACTGATGTCAACTGCGCAATAATTGCATTAAATTCACTAATATGATTAGTAACCGAGTTACCTTCACCCATTTTGAGGTTGACTAGCCTGCGAATCAAATGCACTTTATTGGCTGCAGAGGGCTTCTCATACATATTTGACAACGCCTGCATCAAATCTACGGTTGTCTTCTCGTTCATGATGTTGAACGCAACATTCTTGGCTAATGTCAGCCGGATCACACCAAGCGTCTGCCGATCTAACAACTCCCATTCTGACTGCTCCATGTCGGTTGGCTTCTGCCCTGTCAAGGGTAGATACAACTTCTGATACAGATAATCTTCCATCTGCATCTTCCAGAACCCGAAGTCACTGCCATCGAACTTCTTGATCCTCACCTTTCCTTCTTCCAATGCCATTGCTCTCACTGCTTTCGAAGAAAGCTCCCACTGCTTCTCTAAACTGAGATTCCCAAGAAAAAAGACCAAATCTTTTCTGATGTGGAAGATCAGACAAAGCTGCAACCACAGAGCATACTAAGAAAATTGGCTCTTGATACCAATTGTTAGGAACAAGACAATAATAAAGGAAAGAATAAAGGAGAGAAAAATAAACGACACAAGAATTTTAACGTGGTTCGGCTAAAATATGTATGCCTACGTCCACGACTACACTAGGAAGTATTTTTATTTCTGTGTATATCTCAAACTTTACATAGGGTTGCTTATACAACAAAATAGAGAACCTCATCTCACAATCCTAATCGATGTGGGACTAAATCAAGCACCATAATACTATCAGTCGTGGTGTCGAATTCGAACTCAGATGCCATGATGATAACGCCACCATTTCAATTCAAATAGCCTCTCAAAACTTCACAGTAAAAGAGATCAACATCACCGCGCAAACCGTGATATGCGACCAGACCTAGCCCTTAACGTTTGTTCTCCGCAATTTGAGGACACCTATTTGAGCCATAACTTGTTCCAGTATGGTCCATCCGTGTTCAACATCACCATCTTCTACAACTGTTCCTCCTCCTCATATATAGACACCACTGTTGTGCCGATCAAGTGCGGACACGAGAATACTCTTTTTTCTGATGGTGCAGAAGACGAGCTGCTGAGAAGTTTTCCATGGCTTGAGATGTGCGAGAAGCATGTCCAAGTTCCGTTGGACGTTGTATATTATGGCGAAGGTGGAGATGATTTTCTGAACCAAGCTTTCGCTAGTGGCTTTCTGGTCAACTATACTGTTCTGCACACTGTTCCCGATGACGAGAGTATGGCTTCTATTTCCTCTCTATTACAAATAAATAGAAACTAAATTATTGGTCTCTAAAATAATAAAATTAGTCACTAATTCAATTATATATCGATTAAGAGTTTAATTTTAATAAATAGTTAAAATCTTAATAAATAGTGTTAAATGGCAATTTAGTTTTGGATTGAGAAATCGATTTCACTAATATAACTTCTAATTTAACCAATATGACAACTAAATATTTTTGGTTTCTAAATATAATTTATCCTTCTTCGTTAACGAGGATGGGAATATATTTAGTTTATAGTTAAAAGTTTATTTCATTTTTCTCCAAAAAAGTTATTCAAACCTTCATCTATACACATGCTTGTCAAGGTCCAATACTTTGTATATCATTACAAAATAAATTAGTTAATGTATTTGTAGAGTTAGAAATGGCAACATCTTTGACGTATTTGGATGTGGGTTGCCATTAGGAATTTCCAATTCAACAAATCAGAGAGAACATGTAGCAGAACAAATTAACCAGAGTTAGAAAAACAGCTTATCGTTGACTGCATAATTTTCCAAGTCTCACTGTTTCCTTCTCTATCTAATGGACCCTAGCTACAATTATTAGGTGTTGGTGTTTCCTTTCTCTACAATTTACTTCCTTTAGAATCACATACCCTGTGTCTACCCCTGAATGTGTCAATAAGTTCGTAGTTCTCTTTCATTATATTTGTTTTTGGTGAAATTATCACTTTCATTATATATATTACTTCTAGTACTCATATATATAATATATTATGTTTATCAAGTCGTCTTTTCTCCCATTGTTTACTATTGCAGGTAGGGTTAATTTATCAAGGAAAATCATCGATGGTAATAATCAAATTTGCTGTCATATTTCCTGTTTTATATGTGATAATTCTTTTATTTATCCGCCAATATGATAGTCGATAAAAAAAATGTAAATGTTTACATTAATTAATTTATTTGGAATTTATCCCTTGAAATGAGAAATTCACTTTAGAGAGTAAAAATGATAATAATAATAATAATAATAATAATAATAATAATAATAATAATAATAATAATAATAATAATAATAATAATAATAATAATAATAATAATAATAATAATAATATATTGCATCCATGTATGTATACCAACACAAATTATGATTTTAATTTGTTTTAAAGATTCACAGTTGAATTTCTTGTCAACAGCATGGTATTACATACGTTAATCTCGTTCACTCTAGGTATATCAAATTTAAATTTATGCTGATATAGCTCTCAGTCAAGTCTCAAAAATCAACACAACAACTAATGTTTTTATTCTAACATATGACTGATTTGAAATTTTTACTGCTAAACTTTTACATGCATTGGTGATTACGAATTATAAGTAGAGTTTGGTGAGGTACTTTATCATTACCTTCATTAGGAAAAACCACAATAAGACTCCAATTTATTTGGGCTTTTTTTTGTGCACATTATAAACTAAGAAATATTACCTTCAAGAAACAAAAAAGTAGTTCAAATGTTCTCAACCTCTAAGTCTCCTAATATATATGTGTTCACAGTTGTTGGGGTGGTAATGGGAGGATTCACAACATTCATCGTGATTTACTGTTGTATCTGTAAATACAAGTTATCGACACAAATAAAATATTGGTTGACCAGAAGGAATGACCATGATATTGAAGCATTCTTAAAAAATCGTGGATCTCTAGCACAAAAGAGATATAAATTTTCAGAAGTCAAGAAAATGACAGACTCCTTTAAAGTTAAACTGGGAGAAGGTGGTTTTGGTGTAGTATACAAAGGAGAGCTACCCAGTGGTTATCCTGTGGCAGTAAAGATGTTGAATTCATCCAAAGGAAATGGGCAAGACTTCATCAACGAGGTTTCTAGTATTAGTAGGACTTCTCATGTTAATGTTGTCACATTTTTTGGATTTTGTTTGGAAGGCACTAAGAAAGCTCTCATTTATGAATTCATGCATAATGGTTCCCTTGACAAGTTTATTCACAAGAAGGGACTTGAAGCCACTCCATTGTTGAGCTGGGACAATTTGTGGAAAATTGGCCTAGGAATAGCTCGAGGACTTGAGTACTTACACAGGGGATGCAATACTCGAATTTTACATTTTGACATAAAACCGCATAACATTCTTCTGGATGAGAACTTTTGTCCTAAGATATCAGATTTTGGACTTGCAAAGCTTTGTCCCAGGAGAGAGAGCATTATTTCAATGTCAGATGCTAGAGGAACAATAGGATATGTAGCTCCAGAAGTATGCAACAGACATTTTGGTGGAATTTCACACAAATCAGATGTTTACAGCTATGGAATGCTCTTGTTAGAAATGGTGGGAGTGAGGAAAAATATTGATGGGGAAGCTGGTGACACAAGTGAGGTATACTTTCCAGATTGGATATACAAAAGGTTAGAGCAGGGTGGAGATTTGAGAACTGATGGTGGGGAGATGGTCACAGAAGAAAAAGAGATAGCAAGGACAATGACTGTAGTGGGTTTATGGTGTGTTCAAACGATTCCACAAGATAGACCTACCATAAGTAGAGTAATAGATATGCTAGAAGGCAACATTAATTTCTTAGAAATACCCCCAAAACCTGCTCTTCATTCTCCCACTGGATCTGTGCCAGAATTTAGCACTAGTTCTTTTCAATCTGTGTAGATCTTTCAAATTTGTCATAGTTCTAAACTTGTTTTAACTATAAAATCATAAAAGTAATATCTTTTGTTTTAGTTCTGTTTTTTTTTTTTTTTTTTCTCTAAGTTCTACAAAATTATTAGAAGTTTATATTTTTATTGCTCTATGGTAATATTTGTTAATTTATATAGTAAGTTTATCAAATATGACATAATTTTGTTAAGAATTGACAGGTTGTCTAAAACCATGAGATTGAATTGAACAGATATTGCCTAAAAGTTCTTGGGACTTAACCAACAGGTCTTTGAGCCCCACCATTTTTTAATACAAGCCAGAAACCATAACATCAATGTATTCATATGGTAGTGAGATTAGTGGTCATCATTTTCCAAGGATTGCTTCTAAAGGGACAGGTTATAATATATTTTTTCCTCGTTTCAACGTCCATTTTCCATTTCCAATGTAAACCAAAAATAATAACAGGGAGAATTTGTTGGATTGTTGATATATGTCATTTTATTATTTATTTTTTAATATAAGAGTATTTTTTATGTTAATTATTTTATTCATAAATCATACATTTAAATATTTTCATTATTAAAAATATAGCATAATTTAATTTTTCTTAATTTGTTATATTTTATATAGTTTTAACATAATAAATAATATACATGTATATATCCACAATACATATTTCTTTTTCTTCTTTTGTAAGAAAGGTAATTTGAGATATACCAAATTAATAAAAAAAATTCAAATGGATGTCGTCAAACTTCACTCTTCTTCGAAACCCAAATTTGTTTATGTAGTCCATTTGTAAAATGTTACAAATGAAAATTTTGAATCAAACAAATTAATTGGTGAGTGAATCCAATTTAGCTAATTAAAGACCAGGAAGAATCAATAATTAAATACAAATCGAGTCTATGATCACTCAAAATAGGAAAAAAAACAACTTATTTTCTCTAAATCAGTTCCAATTTTTTTTTCACAGACAATCCAATTTTGCAATTATTTATTTGAGAAATATTTTACACTTAATTTCTCTTGTTTAATCATTTATAAATAAAGGTCTTACAACAATACACTATCATAATTTTCTAGTCTAGATGAGAACTGCCATTTTATCTCGTCCCCATTTTCTTTTTCTATTATCAGTTCTTAGTTTAGTTTTTAGTTAGGCGAGTCATCTATTGCTACTGCACTTTTTATTTGTTCTCTTTTATTTAATTTATAATTTCTATTGAATTTTTCAGTTTATATTGTTCTATTTACTTTATTTATTCAGATATTCATTTTAATTTCTGCTATTTAATTATTTAGAATTTTTATTCCAAGTATTGCTTAAATTTTCATTTTTAATTCATTTCTTTTCCAATTTCAATTATCAATTTAGGTTTAAAGTCATCGTTTTCAGAAATTTTAAATTTAATTACTTTACTATTTTATTTCAAAACAATTATTGATTCTTGCACTTTTAATTAAAAACACTTTATTTTAATTTTATAAATTTCAGTTATTTAAATTTTGAATCAATTTAATTTAATTACTACACTATTTTGTTTCAAAGCAATTTTTATTCTTATATTTTATTTTGATTTTATAAATTTCAATTATTTAAATTCATCTTTCATTTAATTTTAATTGTCATTAATATTTTATAACAATTTGATTTTGAATTTTTATTCTTCTGCATCAATTTATTTCTTTTCACTCTTTTATTTATACCCTATTTACTATTTTAGAGAAAATGATATGAAATGAATACTATAATTGTGTTTTTGTGAACTATGATATTAGTTTAACAACTTATTTATTATTTTTCATTAATATTTTGTGTTACCACGATATTGTTATCACCTATCAACCGTTTAGCAAACACACCTACATAAGTGAGGCTTTTGTTTTGAGGGCTGTGGGAGTAAAGGTAAGAATGGATGATGATCATATAACGTAAGGCTTGCTGTATTTATTCTTAAATTGAGTTTCGTCTTCATCAAGCTTCCCTCCTATCTTTATAAAGCGAAGGGTAGCCGTTGTTGTAGACAAAGAATGGTTGGGATACACATTAAGAACAAAACTTTTACACTGTTCTATAGTAAGGTTAGTACTATTTTTCAATCAAATGTAGAGTTCTTTTTTTTGTCTTCGTAATAATATCCTCATTCATATACCCATGAATGAGCATGCCTTTAATGAGACCTCCTTCTACATAGAATCAACCCAAACAATTTCATGGCTTAGAGCATAATCTCTCTGCTTGGAAATGTTAGTATTATGGTGCTTGATTTAGTCCCACATCGATTAGGATTGTGAGATGAGGTTCTCTATTTTGTTATATAAGCAACCCTATGTAAAGTTTGAGATATACACAGAAATAAAAATACTTCCTAGTGTAGTCGTGGACGTAGGCATACATATTTTAGCCGAACCACGTTAAAATTCTTGTGTCGTTTATTTTTCTCTCCTTTATTCTTTCCTTTATTATTGTCTTGTTCCTAACAATTGGTATCAGAGCCAATTTTCTTAGTATGCTCTGTGGTTGCAGCTTTGTCCGATCTTCCACATCGAAAAAGATTTGGTCTTTTTTCTTGGGAATCTCGGTTTAGAGAAGCAGTGGGAGCTTTCTTCGAAAGCGATGAGAGCAATGGCATTGGAAGAAGGAAAGGTGAGGATCGAGAAGTTCGATGGCGGTGACTTCGGGTTCCGGAAGATGCAGCTGGAAGATTATCTCGTATCGGAAGAAGTTGTATCTACCCTTGACAGGGCGAAGCCAACCGACATGGAGCAGATCAGAATGGGAGTTGTTAGATCGGCAGACGCTTGGTGTGATCCGGTGACATTAGCCAAGAATGTTGCGTTCAACATCATGAACGAGAAGACAACCGTAGATTTGATGCGGGCGTTGTCAAATATGTATGAGAAGCCCTCTGCAGCCAATAAAGTGCATTTGATTCGCAGGCTAGTCAACCTCAAAATGGGTGAAGGTAACTCGGTTACTAATCATATTAGTGAATTTAATGCAATTATTGCGCAGTTGACATCGGTCTGAGATAATATTTGATGATGAGGTGAAAGCATTAATTTTATTATCATCTCTACCGGAAAGTTGGGGTGCAAGCTATTCATGCGATAAGTAATTCGCAAGCAATAACAAGTTGAAGCTTGATAACATCCGTGACTTGATCTTAAGCGAAGATGTTCGCAGGAAAAATTCGATAGAATCTTTCGGTTCTAATTCGAGTTCAGCATTGAGTACTGAAACTAGAGGAAGAAGTCGCCGAAAGGTCGTAATCAAGGCCGAGGCGAGATCAAAATCCAGAGGGAGATCACAAGCAAAAGTCCGGAATGATATCACTTGTTGGAATTGTCGAAAAAGGGCCACTTTTCAAATCGAGTGTAGGGCTCCAAAGAAGGACAACAACAACAACAAGAAGCAAGATGATGATCAATCAGCAAATGCAACGAATCGATGAAGTTGAAGATGCACTCGTTATGTAGTTTAGATAATTCTATTGACTCATGGATTATGGACTCAGAGTGCGTCATTTCATACTACACCTTCCTTAGAACTATTATCTAACTATGTTTCTGGAAAGTTTGGGAAGGTCTACCTTGCAGATGGAAAATCTCTTGATATCATAGGAAGAGGTGATATTAACATCGGAACCTCTAATGGAAACGTGTGGACTTTGAATAATGTCGGACATATTCCAACCTTAAAGAGAAACTTAATATCTATAGGGCAGTTGGATGATGAGGGACATTACACCACTTTTGGAGATGGACATTGGAAGGTAATGAAAGGTAATCTTGTTGTTGCTCGTGGAAAGAAGCAAGGATCTCTCTACATGATTGCGAGATGAGGATATGATATCGGTTGCGAAGTTGGCAACAATTCCTCCTTATGGCATCGGAGGCTTGGGCATATGAGTGAGAAAGGAATGAAGCTCATGATATCAAAAGGTAAAATACCTAACGTGAAGCATGTTGACGTTGGACCTTGCGAACATTGTATCTTTGGAAAGCGAGAAAAAGGTTAGCTTCTCCAAAATAAGTAAGTCGTCTAAAGTTGAAAGACTAGAACTAGTGCATACGAGATGTTTGGGGGCCGGCTTCGGTGAAATCCCTTGGAGGTTCACAATATTATGTAACCTTCATTGATGACTCTACAAGAAAGGTATGGGTTTATTTTCTTAAAAATAAATCGATGTGTTTTCTGTGTTTAAAAGGTGGAAAAAGGAGGTTGAGACTCAAACGAGGTTTAAAGGTCAAATGTTTGAAGTCTGATAATGATGGAGAATATGACGAGTAGTCAATTCAAGGAGTTTTGTTCGAGAGAATGGGATCGGAATGATCAAGACAGTTCCAGGAACACCAGAACAAAACGGTGTGGCAGAAAGAATGAACAGAACCTTGAATGAGAGAGCAAGATGTATGAGAATCCAGTCAGGATTACCCAAGGTATTTTGGGCGAGATGCAATAAGCACAGCAGCCTATCTCATAAACAGAGGACCATCAGTTCCTTTAGACTATAAGTTACCCGAAGAAGTATGGTCTGGAAAAGAGGTAAATCTTTCACATCCGAAAGTTTTTGGTTGTGCTTCATATGTTATGTTAGACTCTAATAGTAGAGATAAATTGGACCCTAAGGCAAAACGTTGTTATTTCATTGGTTATGGATCTGACATGTTTGGCTACGGGTTTTGGGATGACCAAAACAAGAAAATTATCGAAGTAGAAATGTTACTTTTAATGAAAACATGTTCTATAGAGACGAGATTGCAGAATCCGCAAATGTAAATAAACAGACTAGAGCAAGTATCATTAGAAGAAATTTCAGAAAGTGATGTAGTCAACCGAAGGCGAGAATATACAAGTAGAGCCTATGTCGAGCCTCGAGACAGAACTCGAACAAATAGTAGAGTCGGCAACTCCTGAAATCTTGGTTAGAAGATCTAGCGAGAACAATTGTAGCACCACAAAGGTATTCCCCTTCATTGCATTATTTGTTGTTGATCGATGTCTGGTGAGCCGGAGCATTTCGTTGAGGCTATGCAGGGAGATGAATCTATTAAGTGGGAGCTAGCAATGGAAGATGAGATAAAGTCCCTTCAGAAGAATAAAACATGGTCTTTAACCAAGCTACCAGAAGGAAAGAAAGTTTTGCAAAACAGGTGGGTCTATAGGTTGAAAGAAGAACCGGATGGCGGCAAAAGATATAAGGCTAGACTCGTAGTGAAAGGGTTCCAACAAAGACAAGGAATTGACTTCACAGAAATTTTCTCTCCTGTTGTCAAGATGACTACCATCGAGTTATCTTGAGTATAGTAAGCTGCAGAAAATCTTCATTTGGAGCGAGTTAGATGTCAAAGCTGCATTCTTACATGGGGATCTTGAAGAGGAAATTTTTATGACACAGCCAAAAGGTTTTGAAGTACAAGGCGGAGAAAATCTTGTATGCAAGCTTCATAAAAGTCTGTACGGATTAAAACAAGCGCCGAGACAATGGTACAAGAAGTTTAATGAGTTTATGAGAAACTCAGGATTTCGCGAGATGTGAAGAAGATCACTGTTGTTATGTGAAGAAATATGTTGATAGCTATATCATTCTTGCCTTATATGTTGACGACATGTTGATTGTTGGAGCTAATATGGCAGAAATTGACAAGTTGAAGGAACAATTGTCGGAGAGCTTTGAAATGAAGGATCTTGGTCCAGCCAAGCAAATTCTTGGTATGAGAATCTCCCGAGATAGAGATAAAGGTATTTTGAACTTATCTCAAGAAAAATATATAGAAAAATTGCTTAGCAGATTCAATGTTGGGAATGCTAAAACCAGGAATACACCTTTGGGAACTCACTTAAAGTTTTCAAAGAGGCAATCTTCTCAAACAGAAGAAGAAGAAAGTCACATGTCTAAAGTGCCATATGCATCTGCAGTAGGAAGCTTGATGTATGCTATGGTTTGCACCGGACCGGACATAGCACATGCGAGTGGGAGTTGTGAGCAGATTTCTATCAAATCCCGGAAAGGAGCATTGGGAAGGAGTGAAGTGGATATTCGAGATATTTGAAAGGCACTTCAAAGATGCATTTGTCTTTCAAGAGAAGTAATATCATTTTACAGGGGTTTTCCGATGCGGACTTGGGAGGTGATCTTGACGGTAGAAAGAGCACAACAGGTTATATTTTTACATTGGGTGGTACAGCTATCGGTTGGAAGTCTAAACTTCAAGGAAGGGTCTCTCTCTCAACCATTGAAGCGAGTATGTAGCTATCTCGGAAGCGGCGAAGGAGATGATATGGTTGAAGAACCTTCTAAAAGAATTAGGAAGAGAACAAGATGGTTCTCCGTTGTTTAGTGACAGATCAAAGTGCTATTTGTCTTGCTAAAAATCCAATCCTTCATTCCAGATGTAAGCATATTGAATTGAAGTATCATTTTATCGAAACCCGATAAATGATGGAGACTTGAGTTTGTTGAAGATTCCAGGTGCAGAGAATCCCGCTGATATGTTGACCAAGACTGTTACAACAACTAAGTTGAGGCTTTGCATTGCCTCAACCGGCCTTCGAGCAAATTGATGATGAAGGCACTACACTAGGTGGTAACGTAAATCAAACTCCAAGTGGGAGAATTGTTAGTATTATGGTGCTTGATTTAGTCCCACATCGATTAGGATTGTGAGATGAGGTTCTCTATTTTGTTATATAAGCAACCCTATGTAAAGTTTGAGATATACACAGAAATAAAAATACTTCCTAGTGTAGTCGTGGACGTAGGCATACATATTTTAGCCGAACCACGTTAAAATTCTTGTGTCGTTTATTTTTCTCTCCTTTATTTTTTCCTTTATTATTGTCTTGTTCCTAACAGGAAAATTTCCTCCTTGTGTACTTTTAGGTGAAAAAAAAATATAATGAGTTTTTTTTTTTCATAAAAAAATTAGTTTTTTCATTAGCTAACTGGTGGAACCTCGTTTTTCCATCATGAGTTATAGGAGAGAAAATTGGAACAAAAATTGAAATTAATTTTTTCGATGAGTTAATTTGTATATACTCTCATATATGACTTTTTTTTTTTTAAATAATTTTGATTTGCACTTAAGCTTTCTCTTATTGTTTGGACGAATTTCTCCCTAAGAATATTTAGGAGAAAATATAAAAATGAAAATTGAAATTCATTTTATCATAAATTAAAATTAATTTATATAAATTTTCTGATATAATTATTTTTTTAATTTGTAGTAAGCTAATAATTGAATTATAAAAAAAGTTAATTTCATTATTTTCTTGTTAATTTTATTTTCATTTTTTTTTAAAGAAAAGCTCGTATAAAGATATAAATAACTTTTTTAATCTTTTTTTTCTTTTCCATTTATAATTATTTTTTTAATTTGTAGTAAGCTAATAATTGAATTATAAAAAAAGTTAATTTCATTATTTTCTTGTTAATTTTATTTTCATTTTTTTTAAAGAAAAGCTCGTATAAAGATATAAATAACTTTTTTAATCTTTTTTTTCTTTTACATAAGCTAATTTTAGTTTAAGATCATATTTATGTTTTTCCTTTCTAGAATTATCTATGTAAACTTGTTAAAATCTAACCCCTGACCTCCAATAAAATCATATCTTTTTCAGATTAAAAATCCCCATGCCAGACATGTCCTATTTAATTAGGCAGTTGGGTCAAGGATTTATATGGGTCCAACGTCAACTATACCTGTTGTTGACGGCACTTGCACTTGGACGTTTCAACAAGAGAGAAAGCACGCCAACATGTATTTATTTTTGTTTACATTACTCATTAATGGCAAGCACTTAATGAATGATAACCAAAGAACAAAGGTTGATTTGCATTAAGAACATTCAGAAACACTTTAGGCTAAAGATTGATTGAGCCAAGATCAGTTCTTGTTGATGTAAAAAAACTGAATATGATAATTATAAGCAAAGTAATTATCAATATTTTATGTTTCTTTGTTTTTCAAAAATCATTTTATATTTCTAACACATTTACTAAACAAATCTATTAGAGGTTTCAGTGACCGTTACGTTTACTTGACTTTGAGAAAAGCTAGGGTTGTTGATACATATTTTTCCAAGTCTTTCTGTGTTCAATTCTCTAATGGTCCCTACAAGGTTGTTGTTTCTCTGCACAGTTTTACGCTGCTTAAACCCAATGTCCACCTCTGACCTTGTCAACAAAGCAAATTGACACCTTCAATGAATTTTCTCTCCAGCTATTCATTATCTGCTGTTTCCGTTCTCAGTTTTCTTCATTTCTTTCTCTATTGGTATATTTATTGGCATGAAAAACATTGAGGAAAAAACACTAAAAATGATGATTTTTTTTCTTTGTTAGAGAAAAAATAATGTAAAAAGAGAGATTGAATTCTACAAATAAAAATAGAAAGAAAAGAATCACTTACCCTTCTATTTAAATTTAAAATCCTTTGTTCTCTTTCACTTTCTTTACACTATACCAGAATATGTGAGTCTGAGTCAGGATTTGCACTGCTTGCTAGAATTTATGATAAGTTATTTGTCTGAATTCATGCATCTGGTTAAAAATCTACGAGATCTTACTTTGGGTAACGTTTCCAAATTTATTCTGTGAATTGGTGTTTCTGTTGTGTCACTGTACAATTTATATATATATATATATATATATATATATATATATATATATATATATATATATATATATATATATATATATATATATATATATATATATATATATATATATATATATATATATATTAAGAAATAAAGTTTGAATCAAGAATTTAAGATGTGGTATAACTATTTGAATTGGATAATCGTCATAAGTTTCTCCATATCAGAAGTTAGTATTATTCTATTTCATGTTGAGTTAATAGTTAGATTTTGGTGGAAATTAGCCTCAGCCTTCATCTATTTTTTTTTTGGTTGTGTCTAAATTCATTTGTACAGACAATGTTGATTAACCAGGAGAATGAATTCGTTCCCATTCTGTGACTAAGCATATTCAAAATGATCATTAAATGTAAATGAAATAAGTGTATGAGGAAAAGAACAGAGCCAAATGATAAAATCTTATTTTCTTCTCTGTTGATAAGACTGATCCGGACAATCAAACATTGAGACTTTCAAGCCAATTTATCTCTAACAGTTTAAACTGTTTAGTTAAACCCAATGATTTGGCCAAACATTTCAATCGTAACAAAACTTAAAAAAGAAAAAGAAAAAGAAAATTTAATACTGTGAAAAGTAAATTAATCCAAATTCATTTGACTGTAAAATTTGATTATGATACTGTTTGGTTCACGGTTAGACTGCAAAGTCCAGTCCAGTCCAGTATGGTGTTGCCACTATAAAGGAAAAACTCCATTTCTTTGACATGGTTTGTTTTTCTGTTAGAATAAGAGAACTTGATCATGTCATATTTGCAATCCTCTTACAAAGTTAAGTGATTGTAAAAAGGTAGAACTTTTTTTATTCTCTCTGAATAAGAAAATTTTCATTTATAATCTTAGTGTCTGATTCGTTGCTCTCAGTAGGTGCTGTCGCAGTTGCAGGAAAAAAATGGAACAAAGAGATGAAATTCATTATTATAGGTAATAAATATAATTCCTTCTTATATTTCTGCTGGTTCTTAAATACTTACGACGACATTTATCTTTAGGATCATATCTTATGGAAGGAATCATTGCCGCTCGCTATATAGGAAAAGCTTAAATAGGGAACACTTAGAGCTACTCTTTAACACCCATTTTAATTTTCACCTTACTAATTACAATGCTAATGACATTCGTTTTATTATTTGTTTAAATTTATTGATAAATATAAAATTGTGTTAATCAAGTCTCAATCATGATTTTGTAGTTTACAGTAAATTTAAGTCAACGATAAAGAAGAATCTGATAGAAAAAGGTAGTTAGAGTGAATTGACAACGTTCCTGCTACAACAAATGTTCACTGTTTCTCCTACTATTGTATCTGCTAACAGGTGCTGCAGCAATCGCAATTATGTTGATATGTGTAGCGTTTTTCTGTCTACATACAAGTCATCAATCTGTCAAGGACATTTTGGGTTGAGTTCAAAAATTAATAAAAATATTGAAGCATTCCTTAAAAACCATGGAGCTCAAACTCTTAGAAGATAAAAATTTTCAGAAGTCAAGAAAATCACCAATTCCTTCAAAGTTAAACTGGGTGAAGGTAGTTTTGGTGGGGTATACAAAGGAGATATACTCAATGGTTGCTCTGTTGCTATAAAGATATTGAATGCATCCAAAGGAAATGGTGAAGACTTTATCAATGAAGTTGCTAGTATTAGTAGAACTTCTCATGTTAATGTTGTTCAACTTCTTGGATTCTGTTTGGAAGGCAGCAATAAAACTCTCATTTACGAATTCATGTCTAATGGTTCTCTTGACAAGTTTATTTACAGTAAGGGACTCAAAGCCATTCCATCGTTGAGTTGGAATAATTTGTGGCAAATTGCCAAAGGGATAGCTGAAGGACTAGAATACTTGCACAAAGGATGCAATACTCGCATTTTACATTTTGACATAAAACCGCACAACATACTTTTGGATGAAAATTTTTGTCCTAAGATATCAGATTTTGGACTATCAAAGCTTTGCCCCATGAAAGAGAGTACTATCTTCATGTCTGATCAAAGAGGAACAATGGGGTATAAAGCTCCAGAAGTGTGGAATATACATCTTGGTGGAGTTTCACACAAATCTGATGTTTACAGTTATGGAATGATGCTGCTAGAAATGGTGGGAGGGAGAAAAAATATTAATGCAGAAGCCAATCACACAAGTGAGATATACTTCCCACACTGGGCATACAACAGGCTAAAGCAGGGTGGAGAATTGAGACCTGAGGGGGTGGTAGCCACAGAAGAAAATGAAACAGCAAGGAGAATGACTGTAGTGGGATTATGGTGTGTTCAAACTATTCCAAAGGATAGACCTACAATGAGTAGAGTATTAGATATGCTAGAAGGCAACATGAATTCCTTGGAAATGCCTCCAAAACCTGATCTTTCTTCTCCCATTAGTTGATGTAATTTTCTTTACAATTTGGGTAGATATTCCATGCTTTTAAGTTCAACGTAATTATTCTATACTTTTGAAACCAAGAGGGTTTCATACTTGTGTCAACATATTAATGCAAATGCCAAGAGTCAGGGTCAGATAAAATTGTTAATGTAGGTAAAGATCAAAGTAGTTAGTTTACTGTGATAAAATCAGTGACTATTTGCAATTGATAGGCAAGTGACAAAAATTTATCTCTTTCTTTAGAGTCTTTCTCTTCTTCATCTTCTTTCACCCCTTCAGTTATTTTTATTTTTGTATTGCTGAGTTCATTCCTTAAACGATGGTTATTGATTTTATTACTCTGCCTGTCGGCTCAACAGAATTTCACCAATAGTTTTTTTTAAGGCGATTTTCTCTCTTTTGTGATTGAGTTTCCGCAGTAGTCCATTTAAATCTCAATTACATTGTCAGTTTATTATAGCATTTCACTCTATATAAAAAAAATATGATATAAAGTGTTACTTTTTATCAAACACAATGTTAAGATTTAGCAGAAATATATATATGTAGGAGCGCCATGGCCTTCTGACTTTTATGTACAGAAGCAGAGGAGAAAAGCAAATCGGTCTTATTGTAAAGGTTCTTGGTTCATTTGTCGGATAATGATAAGTTTGGCTAGTCCTTTAAGGCATATTTTAATTTGTTATCATAGTTTTGAAAACCACAAAATAAGCATGTGTTTAACTCCTTAAAAAAAAAACATGTGTAATGTGACACTGCTTATGTAGTCCTAGTTCCCCCTTTTAGTGATCATTTTGCCACAATCTCACTGTCAACAACAACCCCTTCACACACAGATACAGATTATTAATGAACACTCTTTAGTAAACGAAAATATTGCCGAGTTCAAATCAATGATATTAATTTCCATCTGGAATAACAAATTTTAGACTATATTAACACTACCATGGATTTGGGGGATTAGAGTTCAATACTAATTTTTGAAACATATTTCTGTTTTTTTTTTTTTTTTTTTTTTAATTTTCTGACGAATTTATTAGTCTTAATGGCATACATATTTATAACCACGAAATAATCCTTTTGTAAATTTCCCCCATTTTTCCCACTATTTTTTTTTTGACAGAAAGCCTAGGAGTAATGCAATGATGTTTTCAAAGAACCTGTGCTTAATTTCCTTAGTTTGCGTGTGGGTCCTCTTCTGTTTGCAAAAGTCTAGTACTGCACATTAACTTCAAAAGGCAAACAATAATATGAAATAACATAACATTAACTCCTTATCAATGGATCCCATTTCCTTTTAATCCTCACCATCTCTATCTTCTTCTTGTTAACTACCTCTCCACAATCCCACTGCTAAGAAGAAGAAACCAAGTATTCACTGTGTAGCAGACCATACACTTGCGGAGAAGTGTCCAACATTAACTACACTGGTTTTTACTCCGTACTAATAGAACATGAGGCTTGAAAGAATGAAAAAAATTGTTAAATAATGATAGTTTTATGGCTTCAAGAAAAGATAATTATACTGGCCAAAAATGAGAATTGAATGGAATGGATTGCATTTCTCCACCATTCATCAGTTGTTTTCTTTAGTCTTGCAGAGTGTGAAGGATAGACCTGATTTCTCCAACACCACCATGGGAGAACTTTGTGGTTATCCATTTGGCCTTGAATGTTTAGAATGATGCGGCATCATCATTTTGCCCACGACTCTAAACGGTTGCTGCAAAACTGGAGAGAAGAGCATAAATTGATCTTTAATCTTCTGTTCTTTTGATTTTGTCTGTGTAAGATTTTTTCTTTTATTATTATGGTCCCTCAAAACTTGAAAAATCACTATTGTTTTTGAAACAGTATTAAAAAGAATCCTATCAAACTATTTTTTATTTAAAACAGAGAAATAATTTTCAAAAGTTAAAGAATGCTCTTAGTCTACAGATTTTGTTTCTTTCAGTGATATTGGCTAATATTGTCCTTTAGAACCAGGCTTCATACAACTAAGTCTTCATTTCCAATCGCATATATAAGAGTAAAAAGGTCATAGTTCATTCAACTAAGTCCTCCATCAATTAATGGAAACAAACTTTGAAGTAATGACTAATACAAGGTTGTTGACTTTAGCTTGAGGAAAGCAAGTTTTATTGCATGCATTTTTCAAATTATTTGTGTACTTTTCTGGTATCCACTGCCAGTACCAAGAGAGGATCCTTCCTCGTTGCTTTACTTTGATTATTTATTTATTTGACCATAACTAAATATAATTTCAAAAAACAAAATATTAACACACTCCCTACTACTTTTGATATATTGCTCACTAAATATATGAATTTTACTTTTCGAATGATGATATTCTCAAATTAGTACAATTCACATAAATTTTAACCAATAAAAAGTTGTGTATATTAGACAATAAATGATTGTGTTTCTGACTCTCTTTCATTAATTATTACTCAAAAAGAGACTACACTTCTACGTAACATTCAGCTAATTTCACATTTTTTTCTTCATGTTTGACGGTTCTTATTTTGCATACAATTTCCTTCTTGAACTTTCAAATAAGATGGCTGCTATTCATAGACAAACACACCTCTACTTGTGTCTGTAATATTTCCTGAACATTGTTCAAACAACCTCTTCCACAAAAGAAAACACTTAAGAAAGATACACAAGTGAAGCATCACTTAACCATATAACATGCACCCAACATTTATATTCCTCATTTTTGTGTTGTTGTTAACCACTTTGCCTCAATCCCGCTGTCAACCCAATGATCCAGTTTGTGGGCAACAGCCTTACAACTGTGGATCACTGTCCAACATCTCATACCCTTTCTGGGGTCTCAACAGACCCAGTTTTTGTGGCGGGGGTGACTCATTCAACCTCAAATGTCACGCCAACGATGCTACTACTTCAATTCAAATTGGTTCACAAAATTTCACAGTGAAGGAGATCAACATCACCTTTCAAACCATGAGAGTGGTGCGACCAGACCTTGTCCTAAATGTTTGTTCTCCGCATGTTAACAACACTGGTCTGGGTTCTAGTTTGTTCAAGTACGGTTCTTCAGTGTACAACATCACCATCTTTTACAACTGTTCCTTATCTCTAGACGCCTCTTTTGGACACTTCTCGTGTGGAAATGAGATTACTATCTTTCGTGACGGTCCGCAAGATGAGCTGCTGAGAAAATTTCCATGGATTGCGAGATGCAGGCGATACGTGGAAGTTCCGGTGGATGTTCCTTATGATAACAGTGGTGGACTTGATTTTCTGCAACAAGCTTTCGACAGCGGGTTTCCAATAAACTATACTGTTCTCAACAATCCGAAAAGTATGTTTTCTATCTTCTTTAGTCTTTGGTTCAATTTCCAGGATGTAAAATAAGCACTTTATAAAGTAGAAAACGGAAATAGCTGGGAGATGTTTCCCTTTTCACTACTCAATGACAGCATATATGGAATGAAAAACTTCTTGGATGTAGCTTGTTCTGCTGTGTTGGGGCTAAGCTATAAACAGAGCAAAGCAAAACTTTTAAAACAAGTTTTTCTTAGTTGTAGTTTTTAAAATTTAAAAAGAAGCTTTTAAAACTGCAAATCAATATACCTTTAATAACGTGTTTGAAATCCAATATATAAGTTATAGAATATATACTTATACTTTAACAACGAACAAATAAAATATTAAACACCACTAACGTCTAAATTTCTTGTAGATTCTTCTTATCAGTATGAATTGAATATATCTTACAAAAATTTATTACAACTCACCCATCTTATTCGACCAACTGAGTTAGATCTTAGGATTTGATAAAAAAATAAAAATAATGCAGTTAAATAATATAGATAAAGATATGGTGACTGACATATGATCATGATCATGCCATATTTGTAGTTCTCCTTCCAAAAGTTAAGCGATTGTGAAACGTATAATGTTTTAACATTTCAGCGAGATTTTCACCAATACTCTAACGAACCCTTTTTACTCTCATTTGCAGGTAATAAATGGAAAATCATTTTAGGTACCAAATCTTATTTCTTTAATATTTCCCCATTTATCCGGGCTCTTAATATTTGTTTAGGACATCAATATTTGTATTTTAATTATTTTTTTCCCTCTTCATGTTTGGCTGGTATCCATTACTATGTGCAGACACAGAAAGGATTCTATCACATGCATTAGAAAAGAGGATTCTATCATATATAACATGTTTTCCCCTTAGCATATGACTTGTTTACTAATGCTCCTAATGCATCTGCTAACAGGTGTTACAGGTGCAACAGTTGCAGGATTGTTGATATGTATTGCAATTTTCTATATAAGATATAGGTCATCAAACTGTAAAGGAGATTTTGGGTTGGCTACAAAGAGTAACAAAAATATTGAAGCGTTCCTGCAAAATCAGGGTGCTCTGACCCTAAAAAGATACAAGTTATCAGATGTGAAGAAAATGACCAACAACTTCAAAGTTAAATTGGGACAAGGTGGTTTTGGTATCGTGTACCAAGGAAAGCTATCTAATGGTAGTCCTGTAGCTATAAAGATGTTGAATGAAGCAAAAAATAATGGTGAAGATTTTATCAATGAGGTTGCTAGCATCAGCAGAACTTCTCATATTAATGTTGTCACTCTTCTTGGATTCTGTTTGGAAGGCCGCAAGAGGGCTCTCATATATGAATTTATGTCCAATGGTTCCCTTGACAAGTTCATTTATAGAAAAGGACCAGAAGCGATTGCACCCTTGAGTTGGGACAATATATATCAAATTGCAATGGGTATAGCTAGAGGATTAGAATATTTGCATATAGGATGTAACACTCGAATTTTGCATTTTGATATAAAACCACATAACATTCTTTTGGATGACAATCTTTGTCCCAAGATATCAGATTTCGGACTAGCAAAACTCTGTCCAAGAAATGAAAGCATTATATCTATGTCAGATGCTAGAGGAACAATGGGGTATGTAGCACCAGAAGTGTTGAATAGACATTTTGCAGGAGTTTCACACAAGTCCGACGTTTATAGCTATGGAATGATGCTTCTAGAAATGGTAGGAGGGAGGAAGAACATTAATGCTGACGCCAGTCACACAAGTGAAATATACTTCCCTCATTGGATATACAAGAGGCTCGAATTGGATACTGATTTGAGACTAGAAGAGGAGATTATGCCAGAAAAAAAGGAGATAGTAAAGAGATTGATCATAGTAGGTTTATGGTGCATTCAAACCTTTCCAAATGGTAGACCTACAATGAGTAGAGTGATAGATATGTTAGAAGCCAACATGAATTCCCTAGAAATCCCACCAAAACCTTTGCTTTCTTCTCCTACTACATCACTACCAGAATCTTCCATTTCTTGATTTTAACTGCATTTTTTATTTGTACATATTTCAACGTATACTGTAACATTGATTGCTCAACATAATTGTTTGCACTTCCCAATCATCTGGGGGAGCACGTAGAATCAATCTCATTTGACTGTTAGGAAGAATGCATAACCACCAATTCATGAAGTTAACTCTATGCCTGCCATGAGTACCATTGATCACTGAGTAAAAACCTTCGTTAGATAAATCTTAATTTTCCAGAGGACCAAATCAAAATGATTAAGGGTGTGTTTGCTTTATTGTTTGCATACGTCGAAGATTATCTAAAGCGACTGAGTGAAAGTGTAATGTTCAACGTGGTTCGAACAGAAATATAAATTCAAACGTTTCAGATAAGTTTGTTTTGGAAAGAGCCTTATTCCAAATTTGAGTAAAATGAATTTGCTTCTTTCATTGGACATGAATACGCCAGTAGGACCCTGTTTTTTTTTTTTTTTTTTTTCAAAATGCCTTGATGATCACCACAATTCAATGGCATTCTATGCGGCACAAGTATGTCTTTTTTTCTTCTTCCCTCCGTTCTCATTCCCATTTACCTTGAAATTGCTCTTGGGACATGCATATATAAGTCTCCTTTTGTCATAGACTTGTCTTTCTTGATTGCATATAATGATTGAGACTTGAAAGATGGGTTGATGATACTTCCCATAACAACTATGGGTTGAAGTTTCATTAAGAAAAATAATCATACGCTAGAACATGCTCAGCTACAACTAAGGCCAGTCTTTAATTGGTGCTACTGAAAAGTTGAATTTGATTGGCAACAAGACAACGTCACAATTGACATCATGTCACAGGCATTCCAAGTCACTGATATGGATCAAAATTGTTTGATCCACTCAGGTTTACGTTGTTGACTCTGTTTTTTAGGCATGAGTGGAATTGTTTGGTTTGCGTGTTCAAAATTGTTATTTGATTACAATAATATTTGTTCATCTTTTAGTCAGTATTCGATAATAGTAAAAAAGAAAAAACAAACAAACGTTTTGAATTATGATACAAAATCCAACTTTAATATATCATTTTATTACCCAAAATCCACTTTTTTTTTTTCAAATATTGACAAGATTAGTGAAAAAACATTTGGCACGAGAAATACTGGAGTGTGAAATGGGGAAGCGAGACTAGGTGAGTAGGTCGGTCGTGTTTTCCGAATTTTGAATTCTAATTTGTTTTGGAGTGCGGACACATTGACAAAGCAGTCACAAGGAGAAAGAGGAAAGAAGGTGGTAGTTTCGTGGAAGGACTCTTTGATTTAATCATATCAGTGGTGAGAAAGTATCCCATCATTTTCCAAGAACTGCTTCTATAACTTTGATTCATGTATTGAGATGAGAGGCTTCCGAGGAACTGCAAGAACGTGTGAGAATGGGTGATGAGCATGATGATTTCCACAACACTCTCCTTCCCTTCCTACTCACCGTCTCTTGCTTGTTGCTAACCTCTTTCCCACACTCCCACTCTCAACCACCCCCACCACCACCACAACGCACTTGTTCTCACCAGTCATACGCGTGCAGCATAAACGTTTCCGCCATCTTCTATCCTTTCTGGGAACGCGCCCCACCATGTAGCGACGGTGACGAATCCCTGCTCTACTGCGATGCTTCTTATGGTAATAATCCTCCAATTGAATCTCCATATTTCACAGTGAAGGAGATCAACGACACCCATCACACCATGAAAGTGATGCTAACACACCCTGTCAAGGATGTTTGTTCTCCGGAATTTGTTCCCACTTACCAGATTTTGAATAACACTCTGTTCCAGTATTCCGCGTCTGTGGACAACATCACCATATTCTTCGATGGTTGTCCTGATAACATCCTAGGTTTCCCTTCAAACCGCAACTTTAAGTGCGGGGATGATGTGCATTATTTTGAGGAGGGAGACAATGAGGAAGAGATGCTCCAGAAACATTCAAAGCTTAGGGATTGCAAGCAACGTTTGCTAGTGCCCACTGCCGCTCCTCTCGATCATTATAATTATATTTATGGAGATGAAGTTGTGAGAGAAGCTATCAGTGATGGGTTTGAGGTGTACTATGATGTTCCTCAACATTGCAAACGATGCAACGAAACGGACGGAAGTTGCTGGAACGGTGGTATTGGTGAATATGTAGTTTCATGCAAGTATTGCTCAAATGAACACTGTTCTTCTCCTCCCGGAAAAAGTAAGTCTTTCTATCCTCTGTATTCCTCTTTAATCTGAATTCTGCTATCTTCAACCAATACGCATTTTGATGCAACAATAACAATCCTACTTCTCTTTCAACATCAACCATCCTTCTCCCTTTCAACTCCTTCCTCCCAACGCAATAGCTGCTTGCTTTATGCACTATATTTTTACCTCCAATGCTTTTGGATTTTAATTCAGACACCTTACTATTCTTTTATTAATATTTTTAATATTGGACCGGTGAGTAATATGGAATGAGGTTTTAAAAGCCGTGATTTAACGAAATATATAATAATATTTTTATAATATAATAAATATATAATAAATTTATTATTATTAATATTTTTTATCATAAAAATAAACATAATAAATATTTTGTGATATTACAATAAAAATTATAAATATAAAATATATTAAAAAAATATGATAAATAATTATTAAAATAAGATAAAAATATAATAAAATAATTATTATTTAAAATTTACATAATTAATGAGATAAGAAAAAAGATTATATTTTTTATAAAAATTTATATTAAAAAAATTTTCATCTTAATTTTTATTTTATTAAAATCGATTTTACTAAAAATTTTATACATTAATTTTTTAATTGAAATTTAATTATTTAAAATCAATAAATTATTTCTGATTTAACTGGTTGAGCCCATAGATTTATATTTTTACATTATAGTAGTAATTATAATTATAATGAGATAATCATGAATAATTCAAATTTCTAATGCAAATTTTCTTAACAATAACATTTAGAGGTTTGATGACACTTACTTTGTTGACTTGAGTTGGAGAAAAATATATAGCTGTTGACTTCACATTTTGATGGTCCCTACCTAGGCATACAAATTACTGTAATATCTTCCCAACATCACATCATCATTACACTTGTTTTTGACTTTGCTTCTAAATATAAATTAATTTTTTTTTAATGTGGTACCTACAATGAAAATAACATCACTAATTTATATTAACAAAATTTACTAAACAATCTCTAATAGGTTTCTGAGACAGTTACATTTGTTGGCCAGACTTTGGGAGGAGGTTCTAACAAAAACTGCTCACATTTTTTTAATTCTTGATGTGTCTTTATCCAATGGTCCCCCTACAGTATTATTATTAGTTGTCTCCTTCTTTAGATTATTTGCACGGTTTATCATATATTTTTAAATAATATCCACACTCCTAATTTTAAAATAAATTTACCTTTTTTGTGTTTTAATAGAGTACCACTACTCACACTCATTATTATTGTTTTACTTAAATATACACCTCTATTATATGTAATATGTACAACTATGATATTTTTATGTTAAATCATTATTTATTGTTTTTTTTTTTGCAAAAATTTAAGGAACTTATTTTTAAAAAAAGTTGTTATTGAAAATACTAAAAAAAAAATACAAATTAAACAACTATTCAAATAAAAATTCGTACTACTTATTAAAATTTTCATTATTGTTACCGTTAATATTATCATCATCCTGTTAATGCTCTGCTTATATCCTATCCTATAATATTATGTATCCTAACCACCAAAAAAAAAACTTATATCATGCACATATAATTTTTCTGCCAATGAATAAATCATGTCATATTAATCATTATGTTTTCAATGTATTTGGATGATATTTCTCTTGACTACTCGTGTTTGCTTTCACTGCTTAATGTTGCAGGTACATCTAACCTTATCAGGAAAATCATCATAGGTAATGATCAAATTTTCTTTCATACTTGTCGTTTCATCATGTTTTCTGTATGCATTATTGTTGACTTTATGACAAACCCAAATTTTAAAATAAATAAATTGTTACTACAAAAACTTATAGTAACTGCAAGAACTGCGGTGACTTTATCCTATTAGAGTTATCAAAATAGGATAAGATTAAATAACAATAACTTAAAAAGAAAATTTAATTCTAAACACTATATATATTTTTATATTTTGAATTAAAAAAAAAAAACTAGATTAGATAAAAATTATATTTAACCTCAACCAACCAACGAGAATTTAGTTATTTATGATGTTGAATAGCTTCAAAGTAAAATAAATGGATGAAACAAAGAAAATGATAGCCATGGATAATGGTATTGGGTGGATGGGTTTTGTTTTTTCATGCTCGTTTTAAACTTATAAATATTAACTTCTAGAAGGGAACTGAAATGCTTTTTACTTCTTAACTCTTCTAACATATATCAACAGGTGTTGCAAGTGCAGCAATGGGAGTCTTCATGATGTGCATCATAATATGCTGTAGTAAATGTATGTCATCAAAAAGAAAGGTAATATTTTGGATGACAAACGACCAAGATATTGAGGTATTCTTAAAAAATCATGGGACTCTAGCACAAAAGATATATAAATTTTCAGAAGTGAAGAAAATGACCAACAACTTCTCAGTTAAACTGGGTGAAGGTGGTTTTGGTGTTGTCTACAAAGGAGAGATACTCAATGGTTATCCTGTGGCGGTAAAGATATTAAGTGCATCAAAAGGAAATGGCCAAGAATTTATCAATGAGGTTGCCAGCATCAGTAGGACTTCTCATGTTAATGTTGTCCAACTTCTTGGATTCTGTTTGGAAGGAAAGACGAAAGCTCTGATTTATGAATACATGGCTAATGGTTCTCTCGATAAGTTCATTAGTAATAAGGGATTCGAAAGCACTCCATCTTTGAGCTGGGATAATTTGTTGCAAATTGCCAAAGGGATAGCCCAAGGACTAGATTACTTGCACAAGGGATGCAACACTCGAATTTTTCATTTTGACATAAAACCACATAACATTCTTTTGGATGAGGACTTATGTCCCAAGATATCAGATTTTGGGCTTGCAAAACTTTGTCCTGCCAAAGAAAGCACTATTCTCATGTCAGATGCTAGAGGAACAATAGGATACGTAGCTCCAGAAGTGTTTAACAAACATTTTGGTGGAGTTTCTCAGAAGTCTGACGTCTACAGTTATGGAATGATGCTACTAGAAATGGTGGGAGCGAGGAACAATATTAATTTAGAAGCTACTGAAACAAGTGAGTACTTCCCAGATTGGATATACCGCAAGTTAGAGCAAGGGGAAGATTTGAGAACTGACGGGGTGATAGACACAGAAGAGAAAGAGATAGAAAGGAGAATGATTGTAGTTAGTTTATGGTGCATTCAAACGTTTCCAAAGGATAGACCTACCATGAGTAGAGTAATAGATATGCTAGAAGGCAACATGAATTCCCAAGAAATGCCCCCAAAACCCTTGCTTTCTTCTCCCACTACTAGATCGGTGCCAGAATGGACCACTAGTTCTTTGCAGTCTGTGTAGACCACTCTGAAACAGATCAGTCAACATAATTATTTTGTACTTTCAATTCATTCTGAAACAATGTGAACCTCACACGAATTTAAATGGAAAAACGAGACCAAACTATGCTGTGTATCCCGTAAATTTAAGAGTCAGGGTTATAAAGTATATGCAAGGAAGCGGTGGATAAATCAAAATGATATTGTGAAGGTGGATGGCTCATCCAAATATCTGTGATGAACGTGGCTCCTACTTTCCGGAAAAAATCAACTTTACTGGGGCATATTTTGTGTTTTTACAATAATTTTAACAACCAGAAAATAAGCATGTTAGAATCTGTATTGTGACGTGATCCACTTACCTTATTTATGGAATGATCGATGCTGCTAGAAATGGTAAGAGGGAGGAAGAACATTAATGCTTAAGCTATACATACTAGTGAGATATACTTTCCTCATTTTTGGTATACAGGAGACTTGAGTTGGATAATGATTTAACCGGATGAGGTGATGAATACAGAAGAAAATTCAAACATTTTTCTAAATGATAGACCTACAATGTAGAGTGGAAGATATGTTTGAAGTTGAAGATAACATGAATTCCTTGGAAATGCCTCAAAAACCATTTTTTCTTCTCCAATAATCAGTTACAGAATCTTTCTCTTGAAATTAATCTCATTGTATTACGGTAAAATCTTTCTAGTTATTGTTAATAGGATCACTCAACATATTTGTTTAGTACTTTTTATTCTGAAAAGCAAATGGATCTCTCATATGTGTGTTAAACTGCCACTACATTGATTACTGAAGCTAGACTAATTGTGTATCATAACTTCAAGTAGATAACTGATAAAAGGTTCCAACACAAGGGAAACTGGAAACTATAGATGAACAGTGAAAACCATATAGGTTTGAGAAACTAAACATGCTCCAAATAATAGGATTTTTGGGGTGAGAAGGAGGACAAGTCTAGGCAACTACTGAGTAATTCTTCTGTTGCCCTCTAACTCTAATGAGTTTATTTATCCTCTTCATTGGTTATTTCTCTTCATAATCAGTAGTTTTCTATGTGAATTTTGTAATGTCTGTAACTGAGTTGAGTTTTTGCATTGATCCATTTTAATCTCACTGTCATTTTCAGCTACAACCATTACACTTCGATATATAATTAATGTCATATAAAGTATTAATTTTAATGGCATGCATTAAGTTCAGATTTATGAATAACTTTTGCCTCACAACTAATATAATTCTCTTATCTAATGTAAAGTGTGATTATGATGAACGAGGCTTCTCCCTTGTGGAAACATCAAATCACCAATCTACCTTTCCCTATGCAGTGTTTTTCTGTTGTCATAAATTTCGGCAATCACGAAACAACATGGTGTACTACAACGTAACTTCTTGAGGGTGTCCAATTATCTAGTTTTAGTTTCGATGTTATAAGTACCATAAGAGAAGTGCTTATAATTGTGACAATTCTCAAAAACAATTATTTGTACGTATCTCATGAAATTATAGTAACATGTATTAGAATAAAAAAAAAATACTCCTTTTCTAAAACAAACTAATTTAGAATCTCTTTCAGATGATTGCTAGAGTGGATCCATTGTTTTGGTCCCATGATTAAAATAACTGCATCAATAAAATAAATATAGCTTCAAATAGCAGAAAGTGTTGGTAATACAGGGTAGGAAGAAAAAGAAAATTTTACTGACTCACACTGACATCACATGGCAATTGAAGTAAATAATATGTCAATCTGCATGAGACAACTTGTTAGGTCATTACAAGCCCTTAGATAGGACAAATATAATATGATAGTCAAAATGAAAATAATTAATAATGATTCTTATTTCTAATAAAAGTATTTCTAACCCAAATTTACCCCATTCTCTGCGGCACAAGTATGACTTTGGTCCTCTTCGTCATTCCCATTTTCCTTGAATCGCTCTTGACACATGCATATATAGGTCTCCTTTTAGTCATAGACTTGTCTTTCTTTATTGCATATAATGATCGAGACTTGAAAGATGATGGGTTGAAGTTTCATTAAGAAAAACAATCATACGCTAGCTAGAACACGCTCAGCTACAACGGATTGCCAACAAGACAACGTGACAACTGACATGTCACAGGCATTCCAAGTCAGTGATATGGATCAAAATTGTTTGATCCACTCAGGCTTGCGTCGAACTCTGTTTTTTGGGCATGAGTGCAATTGTTTGGTTTGAGTGTTCGAAATTGTTATTTGATTACAAAAAATATTAGTTCATCTTTTAGCCAGTTCTTTGATAATAGTAAAAAGGAAAAACAATCAAACGTTTATTGTCCAAAGAATCTTAAAAATAATATTATTTTTCGGTTTCCAATCAATTTGTTTTTAATCAAATATTCACAAGGTTGATGAATGAAATATTTGGCACGAGAAACAGTGGAGTGTGAATTGAGGAAGAGACACTAGGAGAGTGGGTCGTGTTTTCCGAGTTTGACTTCTAATTTGTTTTGGAGTGCGGACACAGTGACAAGGCAGTCACATGGAGAAAGAGAAAAGGTGGTAGTTTCGTGGAAGGACTCTTTGCTTTATTCATATCAAATGCTGCTGCGAAAGAATCCAATCATTTTCCAAGAACTGTTTTAGCTTTGATTCATGTGTTGAGATGAGAGGCTTCTGAGGAACTGCAAGAAAGTGTGAGAATGGGTGTTAAGCATGGTGATTTCCACAACACGCTCCTTCCCTTCCTACTCATCGTCTCTTGCTTGATGCTTATCTCTTTCCCACACTCCCACTCTCAACCACCATCACCCACTTGTTCTCAGCAGTCATACACGTGCAGCATAAACGTTTCCGCCATCTTCTATCCTTTCTGGGAACACAACCCACAATGTACCGGCGGTGACCAATCCCAGCTCTTCTGCTATGCTCAATATGGTAAAAACATTCAAAATTACTATCCAGAATTCACAGTGAAGGAGTTCAACGACACCTCTCGCACCATGAAAGTAATGCTAACAAACCCTGTCAACAACGATGTTTGTTATCATCAATTTTTTGACATTTACAAGAATTTGAACAAGACTCTGTTCCAGTATTCCGCGTCAGTGCACAACATCACCATATTCTTCGATAGTTGTCCTGATCACATCCCAGGTTTCCCTTCAATGCGCAGCTTTAAGTGCGGGGATTCTGTGCATTATTTTGAGGAGGGATACAAGGAGCAAAAGATGCTCCAGAAATACTCACTGCTTAACGATTGCAAGCAACGTTTGCGCGTGCCCACTCCCGCTCCTCTCCATAATTACTATTATTCTGATGGAGATGCAGTTCTGAGAGAAGTAATCAGTGATGGGTTTGAGGTCTACTATGATGTTCCTCAACATTGCAGAAGATGCAGCGAAACTGACGGAAGTTGCTTGAAGGATGGTAATCGTGAACATTGTTGGGAAAAATATGCTGAATCTTCCCATATGGTCAGATCTGTGAAAGTGAAATAAAAGCGGAATAATTACACACACCAATTGATAACGGAGTTCGGCCAATAATGCCTACGTCTCCGGACTACTACAGATTTCTTAGTAGGAGAAAAGAAAAATACACAAGTGTTTACAAAACACTCTCAAAAAACACTCACAACTCAATTACACCCAGAAGCTAAACTAAAACTCTCTAGTTTTTCTGCCTCTCGCTGGTGCCACTCTTTCTTCTCTAAGAGAAGTAATATTTTTGTGTGGGATGGAATGCATTTGCTTGCTGGAAGAAGACCAATTTATAGCAAAAATTGGTACTGTGCATTGCAATAAAATATGCCTCGTGGGTACCTCATGCTCAATTAAAAAATTTGCAGCCACCCTTCCATGCTTTCGGTGCAAATGTGAAAGCTGGTTGCCCACTTTCTTTGACCAACAATCTCCCACTTGAGGACCGATTTCAATCTGTCCTCACACCTTGATCAATAGTAGTCTTCTCTTGTCTGTTATTCTTGTAAGCTAACTGAAGTTGAGCACAACTTCAGTTTGTCAATAGTCACCACCTTTGTTAGCATATCTACTGGGTTCTTGCTTCCCACAATTTTCTTTAATATTAGCATCTCATCCTCAAGTAGAGATCTGATGAAATGATAACGTATGTCGATGTGTTTGGTCCTGGAGTGAAATGCTGAATTTTTTGCCAGATGTATTGCACTCGACTATCACCGTGCAAAACACTCCTTTCTTGAATGAATCCCAACTCGCCAACAATCCTTGAAGCCATATCAATTCTTTGTCGGCTTCGTCACTGCTACATACTCAGCCTCCGTAGTGGATAAAGCAACAATCTTCTCGTATCCGCGACATCCAACTAACAGTCTGTAGTTCCAACGAGTAAACACATACCCAGTGGTGCTTCTTCGGTGATCAACTTCACCTCCAAAGTCTCGCATCTACGTAGCCTCGCAATTTTAGATCTCCTTTTCTAAAATACGGACATTTTTCTCGTTGTGCCTCGTAGATACCTTAGAATCCATTTGACCGCTTCCCAATGAGCTTTTCCTGGATTTGTCATGAATCCGCTTACAACTCCCACTGCATGGCCAATGTCCGGTCTCGTACGGACCATCGCGTACATCAAACTTCCAATGGCTGAAGCATACGGAATCTTAGCCATTAACTCTTCTTCTTCCTTTGTTTGAGGAGACTGATCCTTGGATAGACGAAAATGGCAAGCCAAAGGTGTATTGACTGGTTTGGCATTGTCCATGTTGAATCTCTCGCAAAACACGGTTGATGTACTCGCTTGAGATAACCGCAAAACTCCTTTTTGCTTATCTCTCGTGATTTGCATTCCAAGAATCTTCTTTGCTTGGGCCTAAGTCCTTCATGTCAAATTCTTTTGACAACTGCTTCTTTAAGTTTATGATCTCATTCATATCTCGAACCTCGCTACTAGCATATCATCAACATAAAGTAGCAAAATGATATAACTGGACTTATACCTCTTGAAGAAACAACGGTGATCGGCGTTGCACTTCGGAAACTCTCCTTGTGCATGAAGCTTTCGAACTTCTTATACCACTGTCTTGGAGCTTGTTTCGGGCCATACAGGCTCTTCTTCAATCTGCACACCAAGTTCTTCTTTCCTTCTGAAAAACCTTTAGGCTGATGCATGTAGATCTCCTCATCTAAATCTCCATGAAGAAATGCGGTCTTCACATCTAATTGCTCTAGATAGAGCTCCTCACTAGCCACAATACTTAACACAGTCCTGATAGTATTGAGCTTTACAACTGGAGCAAAGATTTCAGTGTAGTCGACTCCTTCTTTCTGCTGAAATCCTTTAACGACCAGTCGAGCTTTGTATCTCTTAGAACCATCATGGTCTTCCTTCACTCGATACACCCATTTGTTGTGAAGTGCTTTCTTTCCCATAGGTAACTTGACTAGTTCCCATGTCTGATTTGAGATTAAAGACTTCATCTCGTCTTTCATGGCAAGCTCCCACTTGCTAGCATCCGTGGCTTGACAAGCTTTCGTATAATCTTCGGGCTCCCTCCATCGATCAACAACATGTAGTCCATGTATCTCCTGTTAGGCACATGAGGCCGAGAAGACCTTCTCAATACAGGAGTTGGAGTAGGAGGTTCAGCTTGCACATCAAGTTCTTCAACCGATTCCTCCGGTCGAGGACTCCTCATTATAGGACTTTCTGGGATATCTTCCACCTCTGCATAAACTGGCCCACTCACTTCTGAGTTGCTGGCACCTGTATTATGCCTGTCCTTGTACATCACTCTTTCATTGAAGATTACGTCTCTGCTGCGGATCATCTTTTTGTTTTCATCGTCCCATATGCGGTAGCCAAACTCATATTCACCGTAACCAAGGAAAGTACATTTCTTTGATTTTGGATCAAGTTTGTTTCGCCTTGATCACCGATATGCACATATGCTACACAGCCAAAAACTCTAAGATGTGAGAGTTTTACCTCTTTTCCGCTCCATACCTCTTCCGGTATCTTGTGCTCCAATGGTACCGATGGACTTCGGTTGATCAAGTAAGCTGCTTGTGTTGATTGCTTCGCCCAAAACTGCTTTGGTAAGCCTAACCGCACACGCATGCTTCCGGCCCTTTCAGATCAACGTTCGATTCATACGCTCAGCTACACCATTGTGTTGAGGCGTACCCGACACGGTTCTCTCCATTCCGATTCCGTGCTCATAGCAAAACTTCTTGAATCTGGTGTCTACATATTCACCACCATTGTCGGATCTGAGCTTCTTAATCTTCAATCCTGTCTCATTTTCCACCATAGCTTTCCAAATCTTGAAAGCTTCAAATACTTCTGACTTATATTTCAGAAAGTAAACCCATACCTTTCTGGAGTGATCATCAATGAAAGTCACGAAGTAATGCTTCCCACCAACGGATGGAACATTCGTTGGACCCCAAACATCGAGTGGATGAGCTCAAGCTTCTCTTTCTTTGGGGTTCTTTTATTTGTCCGGAAGCCGACTCTCTTCCGCTTTCCAAGTATGCGATCTTCACACATGTCAATATCTACCGATCGAAGACCTGGTAATTTTCCTCTCGAGTGCATGACCTTCATTCCTTTCTCACTCATATGTCCAAGTCTTTGGTGCCATATGTTGGAATTTTCATTTGTTGCAACTGCAATCAAATGACATGCTCCTGCAGTCTTGTAGAGAGTTCCACTCTTTTTACCTCGAGCAATCGTCATCGCACCTTTTGAGATCTTCCATTCATCACCGTGGAAGATTGTCGTATAGCCTTCACTAGCTAACCGACCTACCGAGATTAAGCTCTTTGTCGGCTCGGGAATATGTCTGACATTTTTCAATTCCCATACAAACCCATTCAGCTTAATCCTTACTGCACCTTTGCCTACAATCTCACATGACTGTTCATTACCAAGGTAAACCTTACCAAGGTTTCCGGGAACATAATTCTCCAACAGTTCCTTCTGTGAGGTAGCATGAAAAGATGCTCCGGAGTCTAACACCCAAGACTCCTCCCCGCCTTCAAGGGAGCATATCAATGCCTCATCTTTTCCCGAGGTGGAGGCAACGTTTGCTTCGTCCTTTGCTCCTTGATTCTTCCGTGCACTCTTGCACTCGGTTTTCGAAGTGTCCGGTCTTCCCACAATTCCAACACTCGATCGACTTTGAGTTGTGGGAACTACGATGATTTCTAGACTTGGACCGCCTGTCCTTTGATCTAATTTCTTTGGTTGAACTTCTTCCTCTTGACTCGTATGCACATCGAAGAGGTTGATGCTTCACCCGACTCTCTCCGCCGGATCTCTTCGCCGAGAACCAAATTTTGAACATCATTAAATCTTAACTTATTGTTTCCCGATGAGCTACTCACAGCTGTGACCGTAGCATTCCAACTCTCTGGTAGGGAAGACAAAAGTATTAAAGCTTGTACTTCATCATCGAATTTGATGTCAATAGAACTCAATTGGATTGTTACAGTGTTGAGTTCATTGAGATGATTTGCCACCGAAGCACCTTCGGACATCCGCGAGTTGAACAATCGCCTCATCAAGTGAACTTTGTTTGAGGCCGATGGTTTCTCGTACATGTTGGAAAGAGCCTTCATGAGATCTCGAGGTCGTCTTTTCTTTCACAATGTTAAAAGCAACATTACGGGATAATGTTAGACGAATAACTCCAAGAGCCTCGTCTATCAAGGAGACTTCATTCTTCCTCTTTCATGGTTTCCGGCTTCTCCCTGTGAGTGGTTGATGCATCTTCTTCGATACGCGATAATCCTCTATCCGCATCTTCCGAAGCCAAAGTCTCGTACCGTCGAACCTTTCGATTTTCATTTTTCCTTCGTCTGCAGCCATCACTCCAACTCGATCCGACTTATCTCGTCGGATCGTTTCGACAATTTCGTGAGCTACCGTGTTTCGAACACGACTGCGGGCAAATTTGTAACGCCGACAAAATTTGCACTATTCACGTTTTCACTATTCACTGAATAGTAACTTACTATTCATATGAATAGTAACACCACAAAAATTACGTAACTAACAACCAGCTCCGATACCAGCTTGTCGGGAAAAATATGCTGAATCTTCCCATATGGTCAGATCTGTGAAAGTGAAATAAAAGCGGAATAATTGCACACACCAATTGATAACGGAGTTCGGCCAATAATGCCTACGTCTTCGGACTACTACAGATCTCTTAGTAGGAGAAAAGAAAAATACACAAGTGTTTACAAAACACTCTCAAAAAACACTCACAACTCACAACTCAATTACACCCAGAAGCTAAACTAAAACTCTCTAGTTTTTCTGCCTCTCGCTGGTGCCACTCTTTCTTCTCTAAGAGAAGTAATATTTTTGTGTGGGATGAAATGCATTTGCTTGCAGGAAGAAGACCAATTTATAGCAAAAATTGGTACTGTGCATTGCAATAAAATATGCCTCGTGGGTACCTCATGCTCAATTAAAAAATTTGCAGCCACCCTTCCATGCTTTCGGTGCA